AGGCTAAGCCACCCACAGGACTTTCACTTAGCTGGTCCTAAATAAAACCTTCGAGTACATGGGAACAGTGCCAGGTTAGAATTTCATGACCAGGTACTTACTAGACATTTTCTTCTGTCTTGTATATTTATATCTTTTTTTTTTTTTTTTTTTTTTAAACAGCATATTTATTTGAATCAATTATGTTATTGGTTTAAAAAGAAGGATTACCACATTTCTTTTGTGGAAATGCTTTGATCAACAGTTAACAGAAGATTTACATCATTCTAGAAAAGGTATCATGCAGTAAGAAAAAAGCAAGCACAAAAAATAATTTGATCTATAATGGACTGCAAATTAGAAATACCAGTCATAGTATAATAAACTGGGTGCAACACACCTAGCAGACCAGTTGGGTGTTTTATCTGTTCAGCTAGAAATGTGAAAAAGTGGAGAGACAGAACGTTTTCGTTACCGCCACACTTAATTTCATGTTATCAAAAGTAATACAGCCAGTTCAGAGCGTTTGATTCTTGTAGTCTTTATTTTAATGAATCCTGTAAGTTTGAATAATATTTGAATAAGATCTAGCAAAATGCGCTTTTTTTGGCAATCCAAAAGTCCATCTTACGAACTTCTAATCTTCCGCCTTTCTTGTTTTTTGTAGACAAATGATTTGGTCTACAACATGCTCAACATTTGTTCATGTGTCCAAGAGTGAAATCCTGCTTTGGGAGATTCCCAGTCACGTTGGGTTCATGTTGGTGATCACAAAGGCTCAGAGCCAAAGAAGCCTTTTTCCAGGAAACGAACAAGTCCACAGACCAAACAGTGATTAGGGAAGATACAGTGTTAAAACCTGAGCTTACTTTTGGGTTTCAGTTTAACCTGCCCCGATATCAGAGGGTTGGAAAGTGTAGCTATGGAAATGTTTTTTTCTGCTTTATCAGATAATCTCCCCAACTTTAAGCTTTAGTTTTCCTTTGAATCATGCCAAATACAAAAAACAACCTGAGTGACGATAAAGCAGATAAAGCTTTAACGTAACTCTACACCTGCACTTGAACTGGCTCCTCAGCCAAGCCAAAGCCATTACAACACAGTGACCCTTGACTTGTGGAGCATCCTCAAGGTAACTCTGCTGAACTTGACTGGATTACAACTACTGCCTTTTGTTTCTTTAACATCCCTTTAGTCATATTTTCATAATAAGTGCATTGAAAAATCAACTTAATTTGTTCTAAGCGTAAGTTATTTTCATGTGGTCATTGTTGGTCAGGTTAACCGATAAACCTTTAAATGTTGCCATAAATGATCTTAAACCTCAGAATCTCTATCTGTTTTTTTTTTATTTTATTTTATTTTATTAATCATCATTTAAATTGCTACAACTATACGATTGCTTTAATAAACAAAGGTGATTTTTTTGTTTGAAATATTCAAAGGGAAAGTAAAGTAATCAGTCCTTCATTCAGAGAACCTTCATCATTCAGGGATCCTAATATCGGTGTGTTATCATCCTCTTACACTCACACTTCTGAGTGACAGTTTTACAATGATCTATATGAAAGACACCATTTATTTAAAGCACGAGTGTATCAGTTACAAAACAGTCTGGAGGCTTTGGTATCATAATAAACTGAGACAGCTTGACTTAGATTTAAAATATTTTTAAAAAGTGATTTGAAATTGAACTTTCATCATGAGCTCATTAAAATGAACCTGTCAACGGTTTCCTTTGGGCTTCAAAGTTCAAAAGCCATCTCTTCTGTTAGTAATTTGTGCCTAATCTCTGGCACGTTACTGAGACACAGTTGAATAAGACAGCTTACTATTGACGTTACAGTCCATGCTCCGATCATCTGTGCTGTAATGTGACTAGGAGTCCTTAATCTGCTCAGATCAGACGGACTTGAATACATGGAAGTTCCACGCTGCTCCACAAAGACCTATAAATAACAAACACCCTTTAAATTTGCCTTTACAGTTCAGTCTACAAAAAAGAGGAGTATTCTTAATCATTAAACAGGTCTGGAAGTTCCTTGAGAAAAGTCTACTAAAACTCCAATTACAGGAAGTTAAATAATAAATGTTCATGGTAGTCATCTCTAAAAACCAAAAACACATTGTACTCTCATCTGGTATTGGTGAAATTTAAGTTCGCTTTATTTTTAACCCCTTTGTGCCTCTGAGCTTTTCTTAACAACACGTAAAAATAAAAATAATCAGTCACAAACAACAACAGAACATGCTTAAGATGCTTGTGCTAACTGCATACATTTGTTGTCATTCTGAGTTAAGGACACAGGATGACCCCTTGTTTGAAACAGGTGCAGCTCAGAGATAGATCAGGTTAAGAATAGAAGCTCTAAGTCTATTATTAAACACATGTTAACAAACATATTAAGCATAAAATCTAAAATTTTTGACCAAAAGTGTCAAAAATGTCTCTTGAATTATAACCCAGACTTAAAAGGACCTAAAACGTTATTCTGCTTTTTGTATTAATGAAGACGAGATTGTTTAGTTTGTGGAGAATCAGAGATTAACAGCCTACTACTAGCACAGCCAAGTGGAGGCGTGCATGGTTGTATGTCTGCCCCTGTGATTTAGCTTGCTGGTATTATTAAACCCTTTGTAGTCCAAAAAAGCTATCCCCTGATTGCTTAACTGGATTATGAAGCAGGCAACGACAGAAACAATGAACCAGCTAAGCCTGAATGATGCTTAGAGAGAGGCTAAGGGTATAAAAAGGGAGATCAACTGTTGAACATCGTATACTCTCCACTTACACCGACCAAGCTCCCAGACAGCTGACAAGAGGTAAGACTTCTTCAACTTCATGCATTGATGGATGGATGGTAAACAAATGCAGTTATGATGTCTGAATTTGTTGACCTTGCTGAAGACGCAGGATTAAACTATTGAATAGAATACACTGGTTAAGGAAAGCCTACTCATACTTTTAAAGGAGTTCAATGACTTTAAGATAAAAAATATCAAGTAATTTTGCGTCTTTATGCTAAATCAAAATTCATTACAAATGCAGTCTCCTGCAGGCCGTCTTACTGCCTTGGATTGTTCTGAACAAAAAAAGCGAATCATCTCTTCAACGGATAAATGCACATATGCTTAACAATTGGGAAATATACAAAGCGCACCATGAAGGGTCAAGATAGCAGCTGCTGAAATTTAGAGACTGATCTCAAACGACCAACACAGGATGTTCTGAATTCCCAGAGTCCCTATTATTAGATGGTGCAGTAATTTAACCCTGGTGATGAGCTACAATTGCAGTGGATAACATTTTAAGTGACGGAGAATGCTAACCATTAAATAGCACACTTTTCTGTTGTTTACACTGTATTAAGCGCAAGATACAGTTTTTACAGATTATTATGGAGGGAAATGCATCCTCTTTCTCTAATCATTTTTATACTGCCACCATCAATAGTGATACATTCAACAAAAATGGTAATATACCAAAGAGCTAAGTTTAAGACCATGGATTACAGGGAAGTATCATAGTTGCTAAGCAGTCAGTCAAAGTTGAGCATGGTTATTTTTTATCAAACTATTAAATAATCAGAATGTAGGAGTGTGCCTATAATTGGTACATCTCATTGGTCCAGAAATACACATGCATCCCTTGATCCCGAATCCACATTGTTGTTTTGAATTGGGGGAGCTCCTCCCAGAGAACATAAGTCACCATTCTCCTTAGCCTGTGTGGGTTTAACCCCCATAGCAATCTCTGTGCATACTGGAGAACCCAAAGAATGAATGGTCTGTCCATTGGGAATATAAAATGTTTATTATGAAACCTTGTGTTTCATTCAATGTGACAGTTCTAATGAAGCTCATTATATAACTCAGTAAGTTCCTGCTCAGATCCATTAGGTGTCATGCTGTGACAGGAACATCGTATGCTATGGGACATGATTAATTACATTACTCAATGGATTAAGTTCCACAGGTTTGATAGTAAATTATCTCTACAACTCATAAGAGAAATCTTATAGTAAATAAAAGCAAATCCCACTTTTGGGATTAATTTGAAATGTATAATGAACAACTATAAAACAGCCTCCAAATTATTCCATTAAATCCTCATTAAAGGGCTATAAGGAGATACTGTTAGGGCTTAGTGTCTCATTAGGACCAGGAAAACTATAGCAAGTTACTGAATGGGCTACATCCATTTAACTGTCCTTGAATAGTCCACGCAAGAAGCCGTTTTGGCAGTGCGATTTCATTGTGACATAATGGTGTGTGTTTGCGGAGTAAACCTGGACTGGAGTTTGGTGTGAAACCTGGTGTCTGCTGGACGAGGGCCAGTTAGCAGAAACAGAATAACAGATTTGGATCAGGAGTCCTAACACTGATGGTGTAATCTTATCACAAAGGATTAACCTTATGTTGCCTAAAACAAAACATCACCCCAAAAGCTGACAGTTGGCACAGGATCAATTTCTAAGTAATCATATTTGATTGATGCTGTGACCTTGTATTAATCTCGAGTTGCTCCTTTTTTTTTTTTTCTTCAAACAGAACCCTCCTAAAGATCTTCAGAGATGGCAAAGTAAGTATTATTTTTGTTTTTTCTTCATGTCCTCAAAAAAGTGCTCAGGAAGTTAAAACTGAAAAATTAAACCTTGACAAAAAAGGTATCTTTTTTTGTCATTGTGAAGCTCTCCAGACTTTCACTGTCTGAGCATTTCCATCAAATGTATCATAATTGGTAAGATTGATCTGATTTCTCAAAATAATTAAAACTACCTAAAAAGCTATTAAAACCTGCTTTTAAAAATGGAGTCACAGATTATGACCGGGGTCAGCCAACTCCTGAATGTGACAAGTAGTTTTTAAAGTGTTAATCGGAGGTTTGCAATGGATTAATCAGTATATGCGTTGGTTCAAATGGGCTCTTAGACAGAGACACGGGTAATGAGATATTTGGGAACAGGGCCAAACTTCATTTGCAGCTTCCTCACCTGGGCCAGCCTCTCAATCTGGGCACAATGAGGTAAAGCTGCTCCACTCTTAGCTTTTCCTAACTGGATAAAAGGGAATAAGGGATTACTTACCCTTCTGCTGCTCGCAAATGAACTTACTTCACCTTTACATCCTAAAAGTAATCATTAATTTATCTGGTTAATCCAGACGGTTACTCAGAACTGTGTTCAAAGGTTGTGCACTTATTTACATTCACAAGCAGCTTAAACTAATCTATGGCTTCACATCTATAATCAACTTTCTATTAATAAACGTATCACTTCTCATTGTTCAGAGAAGTGATTTAGTTTAAGGTTCGACTTAAGTTGAAAATTGAATGAAGACAGTAAACAAAGATTAATGACTGAGAGTGAAAATCGAGACGTCAAAATTAAGAAATAACATTGATAAATGACACACAAATGGTGTTAAAAGTCGTTTGTCCTTTATTCCCGCAGGGTTTACAAGAAGACCAGTGGAAACGGAGGGGTAAGTCCACATTTCTTTTCTTCCTTTTCATTTTGTTTCATGTTTAAAATTATTGAAGCATACCTGGAAACAGACACCATCGAAACAATCTGAAAATCCTTCTTTTTTTTTTCCTTCTGTCTGACAGCTGACCCTCTACCTGGGCAAGAGAGACTATGTGGACCATGTGATCAATGTGGACCAAGTTGGTAAGCTCCAGCTTCTGTGTGTTGGTCTGTGTGCTGCTGCACAGTCAGGATGATAGATATAATACTGTCTGCTCTCTTACCTTCTCAGACGGTGTTGTAAAGCTGGACACAACAGATTTTGGAGACAGGAAAGGTAAGTGATACCAGTAATGACCAAATGCATAGTTTATATATCTCTTTAATAGGAACAAGTCAAACCAAATCCTACTAGACAGCTGTTCTTTTATTGTATGTCTATGTCTATGTCCTCCCCCCTCCCCAATAATTCTCTCCTGTCCAGATTGTGGCAGTTTTACACCTTTACACTATCTTAACCATTAATAATCAAAATAAATCCAATAGCCTTCATTTACTTTGAAACAACTAGAATTAGGCTTTTATCTACAGGGAGGGGGGGAGCATAAACCACCTCATTTTAACCCCTTTCCTCTAAAAACAGAATACAAAGAAACAATAATCTCTGTAACTCAAAAGATCACATCTTAAAAAGGTCTGCGTTAATCTCCATTCCATATTTCAAAGCAAAACCTGTCATTTAAAATCAATATTGAAATATCCGCCCTGCTCATGTGTGTTGACAGTCTTCGTGCAGCTGGCATGTGCCTTCCGTTATGGCACTGAAGACCTGGATGTGATGGGCCTATGCTTCAGGAAGGACATCTGGATCAATCACGTCCAGATCTACCCTGAGTGCCACAAACCTGCTCAGAGCGCCATGCACGAGACCCTGCTGAAAAAGGCTGGAGACAGTGCATATGCTTTCTCTTTTGAGGTATGACATGTTCCAGATGAAATTATGAAGAGTTTAAGACTTCAGCTTGTCCAACCTACCTATTTGGCTTTACTTGAAATAAACAAATCAATTCATTTATCTATGGAGTTTTATTTGGTACCCGTTTTTTAGAATTTTGGGACACTAAACAAAAGCCTTTACGGTATTGGCTCTATAACTGATTCCTGTTTAGTCATTTGAATGCATTCACCCAAAAAAACAGGTACGAAAATATCAAAATAGCTCTTTGGCTAAGCTATAAATGTCCTTCTTTGTCTTTCTAGATCCCCACCAACCTGCCATGCTCAGTCTCTCTGCAGCCTGGACCAGACGACAAGGGGAAGGTAAAAGCTAACCCTAACACCAGAAAGAATCTCTCTAAATCCCACAGTTTGTGTGTAAAATGTTAAATATGCTACCTGTTTATCGTTGTAGCTATTGACATTTTTAATTTGTTTATTTAAAGGCTTGTGGTGTCGACTTTGAAGTTAAAACTTACCTTGCCAAGGAAAAGAGCAACGCTGATGAGAAGATTGAAAAGAAGTGAGTATGCTCTCTTCTTTGAACTGTCAAAGGAAAAGTCAGTGCAGAAAAAGCTCACTTTTAAGATACCCAAGAAGAAGTCCCCTTTGCCTCAGACAGAATGAGTCTGCGGCTGTGCCCAACTAACATTTCCTGTTTCCGTTTCCGATTCTTCTTCCTTCCCCTGTCCGGTTCTGACTGACAGAGACACTGCTCGCCTCATCATTCGTAAGGTCCAGTATGCCCCCTCCCAGGTCGGCGCGGGGCCGAAGGCAGATCTCTGCAAAAGTTTCATGATGTCCGACAAGCCTGTTCATCTAGAAGCCTCAATGGAAAAAGATGTACAGTGGTTTTCAAAATTCCTCAAAGACAGTCTTCTACAAAAATATGTTACATTTCTCTGCTATCATTAATCTTTTTTTAATGTTGACACAGCAAGCTTGAATGCAAACTGTTTTTCAACTCCACCATTTCTTACCATGAACTGTCTTTTTCCTTCTCTGTCAACAGCTCTACTTCCATGGTGAAGTAATCCCAATTAAAATCAAAATCAATAATGAGAGCAACAAAACAGTCAAGAAATTCAAAATCAGCGGTATTTACCTTAATTTAATAGTGTTTTAAAGAGTTTAATTAATCTGGTAATGAAAACAAAGATTTGTCTCACACTCTTTCTCCATCTGTCTTCCTCATCTCATAGTGGAACAAACCACAGACATTGTCCTCTACTCTGCAGACAAATACACCAAGCAAGTTTTTTGCCAAGAGTTTGGGTACGTAGGCAGAAATCTGAAAGCAAGATAATCACAGAAGCATAGCAAAGAAACAGAAACATGTTCATGTTTGGTTTAATTCTCCACAGGGAAACAGTGGATTCCAACGGCACCTATGAGAATACTCTGTCCATCACCCCCCTGCTCTCTGACAACAAGGAGAAACGGGGGCTGGCACTGGATGGACGACTGAAAGATGAGGACACCAACTTGGCCTCCACCACTATGTAAGTTTAACATGTACTTCATTTGGTTATGGATTAAAAGTTGGGACAACAAATCAGAAATCAAAATTGGACATGGTTAGTTTTCCATTGCATAGTCATAGTTCGTAATTTGTAGATTTACATCAACTTTTTGCTTTCTTGCATATCACCTTGTGTTATATAAGTTATAAAAAAAAGGAAACCAAATCAAACCTTCTGAACCCTACACGCTTGTAAATCCTCTCTACAGGCTGCGAATGGGTTTAGAAAAAGAAGTGCTGGGAATCCTGGTCTCCTACAAGATTAAAATTAACCTCATGGTGGCCGGAGGAGGGTGAGTGACTGTTCCTGTTCAAGAACTCTGAGCTTAAGGAACTGCAAATAAAACCTAAGCATGAAAACAAACCATCTCTCTTGTCTTTATCGCTCTTGTAGCTTGCTGGGCGGCCTCACCTCCAGGTGAGTTGTTATTTCAAATCATATCACAGTTAAAAGCCCAAAGCAATGATTACCACTAATCATCTGTATTATTTTGATTGGTTGCTTGGTTTGTTTTTTTTCTTCAGTGACGTCACAGTGGAGCTGCCATTGAGTCTCATGCACCCCAAACCAGAAGGTATGTTTCTTTATCACAAACCTGTACAAAAACAATACAATGACACCAGTTCACCTCGCTCCTTATGTTCTAATTTTATGTTTATCTTATGTTCAAATCAATCTACCTCCCAAATTTTGCAGAGTAAAGACAATACACCACTGTAAGTATCCAGTTGCTTTTATGTTGATATGCTGAATTTTTGTGATATATATATCTATATATATATAGATATATATATATGTAAAGTAAATTTTTCATTTCTTTAGGTATTTGTTACTGACTGATAAATCTCAGCCTCTTTTTTTCTCCTACAGTGTCTTGAAAGAAAACTCCCCATAGTCAAGGTGAGGTTCTGATGGCATTCAAATGAGAGAATGAAGATGTTAAAACAATTTCAGGTGATGATTGTGTTCATTTTACCAACATACTGTTACTTCTTTTCAGAGAGGATGTTACCCCAGAGGTTGAAAAGAACTCGCAGATTGACAGTAAGAAGGGTAAAAGACACAAAACCAAGACAAAGATGATGGATGAGGCCGATGTAATGAAACCCTATAACCATAAACATACAGCTGACGTCTAAACACCTTACAAGGACAAAAGATGTAATCAAGATGCAACATCTGACCTTAACAGATTGTATTGTTTATGTTTTTCTGTGTTTAATTGTTGTTATAGTGAGAGCATTTTAATTGTAAAATAGTTTCCAACATTTAGAGACCAAAGACTGCTGTAGAACCAAACAAATAAAAGTCTTTTTCACTTAACTGCAGTGTATGAGTGAGGGGGGAGATAGGAAATCAGTCAAAGACCCTAAAAACCACTGTGCTTTGGATTACAGTGATACACTTCTCTCATTTTGATGTTTTTTTTTTCTTCTGTGAATTGTACCAGATTATGTTTTTGACGTGAAGTCAGATATAGTCAAAATACAATAAAATAATTTAAAAACCAGAATATCTGTGGTATGGGTTTTTTTTTCTGTTTGGGAAAGACCATTCATTAGTTTAAGGTTCAGCTTTTGCTACATATTGCTATATTTTTCATTCGTAGAGCAGCACTTTAAAGAGTTTTTTCAGGGGCACAGATAGGATGCTTAGAAGTGAGAATAGGGCAGATTGATTGACGCTTTACTGTATACAAATTAAAGGGCACAATAGCTCACAACAGTATTTTATATTGTTTAATTATATTAGAGAAAGCTATTTATATAAATAGAAAAATGAAATATCTATCATCTAACTCTTGCTTGAAAAATGCCTGGGCTTACATTGTTTGATTGATGGGTTATTTTTTTTTCATCTTCTTGTCAAGTATATAAAGGGCTTGACCCGTGTGGGCTGACTATGCCTAGTCTGATAAAGTCCCCCACATTAAGTTATACAACAATACAAGAGAAACAGTAGAGGACCCTTTCCAAACAACTTAGGAAGAGTAAACAATTTCCTCTGGTAACAAAGAAGAGGACAATATCATTTTTATTTATTCAAACTGGAAAATTACGAAAGCGTATTGCTGCCACTCTGTTAAATCAATATAATTTATAATAAATAATTTTAAAATGTGATAAGTTTATGTAATTACTGAAATAAAGGTTGAACCTTTGGAAAGTTCTTTTGGTTTGGGTGGGCAGATATGGAATGATTCCGGTCAGAGAATCAGGACAGGAGAGAGGATATCACAGCTCAAGGGTTTTATTCCTTTAAAGACAGGCCACTTCCATCAAGTGAGCTTGGCTTATCCGTGAGTGTGTGTGTGTGTGTGTGTGTGTGTGTGTATTAATATCATTTAGTCATTTAGTCATTGTGTGATGCAGGGGTGCCCCTGTTTCAGTTGCCCCCAGACCCTGCGGAGGGGGCCAGCTGATAGGGTTGCTACTACTGCTACCCTCTCGCCAAGCTTGAACAACCCCCAGACCTGATGGGAGGGGATCTGTTTGTGCTGGTACTTGGGTATCATCTGATTAATTTCTTTCAGTCACAGTATTTTTATCATTGTAATTGTTTTTTATGCATTTGCATTTATTTGTATTTGTTATTATTATCGTTGTCCTTAAGTCTATACTTTTTCTTCCTTTTTTAACATTTGCATTTAGAGATGGACCACTGAGAGGATGGAGGCAACAGGAGGGGATAAAAAGCATATTCAAAAGTGTACAGCAGTAATTATGATAATAATAGTAAAAAAAACAGCAAAGGTTTGTTGGCACAAGGTGATAGCAGTAGTAATTATAAGAGAAACAGAAAATACATAAATAATGAATAAAACAAGGCAACCAAAGAAGAACAGACAACCATCTAGATGGAGAAAGAGAAAGAAAAAAGAAAGTTTATTTTATTTTAAGAAAGAAAAGAAATGCATGAAAACGAAAGTGGCTATGATGAGAATTTATGATGATGAATATGATACGAATTTAAGGGGAGAGAGAGGAAATAAATCAATAAATAGTCATAATAAAGCGGTGGCTAAGGTAAAAAAAATAAAAAATTAATAATAACAATAATTAAAAATAATTTGATAGTAAGAGGAAAATAAATTCACAAATAAGTTGTGATAGTTATACAGAAAAAAAAGGATGTGTCTTTGTGTGTGTGTCTTTATGTGCATGTGTGTGTTTGTGTGTGTGTATGTGTATTTATGTGTGTGTATGTGTGTAAGTGTGCGTGTGTGTGTGCGTGTGTGTCTTTATGTGTATGTGTGTGTGTGTGCGTGTGTCTGTATTTGTGGAAGTGAATATCGGGGGTTTGAACTGTGTTGTTCGGGAAGTAATGAGGTGAGGATTGTCAGAAATTGGTGTGTTTTATTGTGGATTTATGCTTTAAGTTTTTCCATGACAAAGAGGTCTATCCATACTGAGGTGTTTCTCTGCCCTTTCCTCCTCATTTTCCTCTCCACCCTTTCTTTCTCCTTCCTCTGCAGCTCCTTTCTCTATTTCTCCAGCATCCTTCTCTCTGTCTCCTTTTCTTTCTCCATCCTCTCTCTCTCCATCCTCAGCAGCTCTTCTCTCTCATTTTCCAACCTCTGTCTCTCCTCTTTTTCCTTTTCCACCCTCTCTTTCTCTTTCCTCTCTGCCGCTTCTCTCTTTGCCCTCTCTTCTTCCTCCCTCTTCATGTTTTCAATCCGTTCATTCTCCGTTCTCTCCCTCTCTTCCTCCTGCTCAGAGGCTGCCATGTCTCAGACTTGCAACCAGACTTATACCACCCAACTGTACACACTCTGGACACACGCTCCTCCTATGCTCTGCTCTGCTGCATCGAAGCCTTGAGCTTTATGACATCTAAGCTTTTTTTTACTCTGAGCAGGGCCCGTTAACTCTGGGCAGGCTTTCTCACAATAACAACATACGTTTTAATGTTACAAGGTGATAAGTTTATGTTCTAAATAAAATTATTAGATTAGATGTTTATTGCCATTTGCACATGTACATGACAGTACAGGTACATTGGAATTTTTGTGCATGTCTCTTATCACGTTACAGCGAGAACATATTATGTAATTACAATAAACGTATGAAGTTATGTTATAAACTGATCCTTGTTTTTATATTCCAGAGTGGCGGCAATATATTTCCATAGAAAGAATACAGTGCGCAGAGTATAGCATTATGCAGGTGTACATAAATAGTGATGCTTACACAAATGAGGCTAGTGAAGATCAGTGGGAAAAGAGAATATAATCACATTTTTGAGAGAAAATGACCACTTGGTTTTTTTCAAGCGCCACTTTCCTAATTATGGAAAATATGACAGCTTTGCAATAGAAAATACCGACACGCGAATAAGAGAGGCAGTATTGCAAGTATGGGGATGTCAACTACCATGAAACTTCACAGAAGAAGAAAAGATGACGACATTTGACGACTCCGACGTCATTACGCACAACGTTTAGCACTGAAGCAACATGGCTCTGAATAGAGGTTTGTCAACTTCTAAGTTTATTAACAAGCTAACTGTGACGTTTTTTTTTTTACGATAGACCTTTACGGTGAACCAAGAACTATTTGTCAGAACAAGTAGAAACTCGTTCTCGCGTTTTGTTTAGTTCTCACTGCGATGTTTTGTTTTCACATTTTATATGAATATCGTTAGCCCTCGCTAGCCCGGTTGATTTGCTAGCTTAGCTTGTTTCACAGAAGAGCAGTGCGGCAATTTGTGTGCATGCTCTTAAACAACAATACGTAGACCAAACGATTTAACACATTGTCCCTAAAGTGCAGACATCTTACTGTGGATTATTACACGGCATACTGCTTACAAAGAGCCGACTTTTATACACGATGTAGCATTGCTGAGGACTGTTTATAAGAAACGTCACAGCAACAGGCTTCTGGTGATAGTCGTGTTTGTGTTGTTCATATACTGTATTATTAAACAAGCGTTTTGTCACTGACCCCAGATGATGAGGACTATGAGTGGGAGCCTCCAACAGAGGCAGAGATGAAGGTGATCCAGGCTCGCAGAGAGCATCAAGACAAAATCAGTAAGCTGATGGGAGGCTACCTGCTCAAAGGATACAAGATGCTGGGAGACTGCTGTGATGTGTGTGGGGTGAGTGCAGTCTGTTGCTTATTCTTTGGGGTTTTTTTTGTGATGCTGGACGCACCTTTAATATTGAGGAAAGACTTCGATGTGTGTGCTGATGTGTTTTCTTTGCAGACGATTCTTCTTCAGGATAAACAGCAGAAAATCTACTGTGTCTCATGTCAGGAACTTGATTCAGATGTTGACAAGGACAACCCTGGTAAACACAAGACACACACTCACTTAAGAAGCACAATTAATGAGAAAACAGGTTTCATTTAGTGTCTTCTGTTACATCCTCACCTAGTTTATGTCTCAGATCCTTCTTTATTACGGCCAATGTTGCTTAAAGTTACTTGTATTCTGTCTCCTATGTTTCCCTTCTCTCTGCCCCTCTCAGCTCTCAATGCACAGGCAGCATTGTCTCAAGTGAGAGAAAGACAACTTGCAGCCCAGTCGCCCACACCGTCCCAGGCTCCTGTTGTCGATGGCCCCAGCAGCAGCAGCAGCAGCAGCAGTCAGGCAAGTGTGTCAGTTCCCAGACCAGAGCACTGTGAAGGGGCTGCTGCAGGAGGAAGAGCGATCCTGCCTCCAGCTGCTGTCCCTCTTCCCTCGCCTCCTGCCGCCACCACATCCCTGGCACCTGCTCGCCCTCCAGTTATTCCACAGAGTGCTGCCATCCAACCTGTGCTACAAGAAGCAGAGGAAGCTGTTCTAACCAAACTTCGCTGGGCCACTAACCAGTTACAGAGTTCAGCCTCCCTGGAGGCGAGCATCCAGCTCTGCAGCCTCATCGCTAGCTGTGCCAGCTCACTGCGCAGCCTCAAGGAGCTCAGCCAGTAGCCCTCTTAGGAAAGGTCGAAACCATGGATTAAAAGGAACGGTGTTCCTACTTGTCTCTTTCCTGGAGCACTGACTCTGGTTCGCTGCTTTACAGCATTTCTCTTGGACTGAATCCTTTCATAGAGCTGAATTGAAAATTGGTCAACAATTGCACTTGAAGTAGGATTAAAATGTCACAATTGCTCCGTTGCTCTTCAGTTAACAGTCCTGTATGGCTGGCAGAAATAGTATGTTACATGGTTTTGTATGTTTAGGTACCTACCAATGTTTCAACATTTGACTGTTTTTGTTCATGCATAAATTGTGGTATAAGAAAAGAACATTTTAAATGCAAACGTATCACACATATTGATTTATAAGCAACTGGTCAATAAACAACTTAAAATAAGACTATATTCCACCGTAACAGACAGCTGATTATTATTTTATAATTGATTACCTTTTCTTTATTCTAAATGGCCACCAAATTGACATCTGAGCATTAACAACATATTTTTTCTAATCGGTTGTTCTGTTGAACCTAAAGCATGGTGTGCATTTTGGAAATCACAAGATAATAAAACCCTCCTTGGTGCCCATTGCCCACATACTGTACCTGTACAATTGTGTGTCACAAGTGGGTCTTGGGCCAATATACAACAAAAGACCACACTTCAGTTCATAAGTCATATGTTAAGTCTGACACTTATGTGTTATCTTCACTGATGGAAAGACTGTCATGTTTTGCTGGCAGCTCTGAGGTTTTATTACCAAGAGACATAACGGTGATACGTAATAGACGTGATGCAGTGGCCGATTCTGGCGTCAGACTCGTATTGCTTTTTATTCATTATACCATCCAAAGCAAATAAACTGCACTTCATACTACATAAAATGCCAGTGTCATTTCATCCGAGTTGGTAAGTTTTTAATAACCCAGGGTAAATCTATGCCTGTACTGGACCTATGCCGTATTTTTCTTTCCACGAGAGGGCGCCAAAGGCCAAAAATGTGTTAACTAGGAAAACTGTATAGAAATAAGGACTTCTTAAAGGACTAATAAACTTGTAGCATGCACTTCTGTCTAAAATGTGCACTGTGTATTACAAATACTGGAAAGCTCCATCCATAACACTGAATCAAATTATTGACATGTATTTCCTGTTTCTGTGAAGGTGGTACATTGAGCAGTCAAACTTGTTCCAGTCGGTGTGTGAACCTCTGTATTTTGTCTAAACGGGGCTCAGCATTCATCCAGTCAAATCAATCAAACCACTGCCAGTCCCTTTCACCCCACACTCGCGGGGCGTGGCGCGGTCCCTGCCGGGAGGAGCCGGGGTGGGGGGGCTGGCTGGGGTACACTCTCCCACACACAAAGGAGAGGAAACAACAAAGCCAGGAAGCCTGTCAAGAACCCGGAGTTCACTGCGTCTACTGTAGCCTGCTCTCATCCAGAAAACAGAAGCGTTGACTTTCCTGTGCCTGCTTTTTTTTTTTTTTTTTTACCAGTACCTTCCCTCTCCTCCTCCGCCCTATTCTGCCGCTGGGAGAGAAGAAATTAGCACCTCGAAAGTGTACGCGCATTTTGAGAGTGATTCTTGGATTCATGTGCTGAGTCAGCTGCCCCCCCGCCCCCCGTGTCGTGATGAACGGGAGTCAATGCAGCGCGGCGGACAGTCCGGTAGTCGATGTCCCGTCCTCAGTGGAGGGTCTGCCGCCGCTGCCCAAAGGCCTGAGCGGCATCCTGAACTCCAGCGGCGGCTCGTGGCGGGACATCGAGAAGGTACACAGCAAGAGAGCGCGCATCCAGGCCGACATCAGCAGGGGAGGCGTGGACGCGCCACACGTCAACAGCAAGCCCTGCGGACTGGACGCCGCTTTGGCTTTACTGCGGAAAGAGATGGTGAGCAGGGGCGTGTCCAGACTTCTTCGGCTGGGGTGGCATGAAGTTTGTGGGTGCCCACACTTTCTACACTTTCTATCCCCGCTGATTATATGTAGGCCTAGGCTATTAAGAAGTAACAGCATGGCACACAAATACATCTCCTTTGATTCTTTAGAGAGTCAAAAACCAATATGTGCAAAGCAAAGTCACAATTTACAGAACTTAGAAAATTGCATGCACATACTTGTTTAACTTGCAAAAATCCCTTCATTGGCAAGGAAGTCCATAGCAAGTTAGACCGTATGCACAAGTTTATGGAAAAAGCAAATAATGTAAAGTATTGATTAACAACTGAAATAACAGAAAACCACCAGCAGCCTCTTGAAACCAGTCAGAGTAGTTGACTTTAACTAGTTCCCGTCTCTGATGAGGCTAATAGACAATCTTATGCTGCATTCACGTGGTGTCGGACCCAACGGAAAAACGAGTTTCCGAGTTGTAAAATGCACATGAACACCTGCTCAAGTCGGAACAACAACTCGGAAACTCAGAAAATAATTAGGTGCCCGACTTGACGTCAGAATCGTCATCACATAGGGGGCAAAATATGTTTTGTTATTGTTAACAATTATTTTTTAAATTAATTCACGTATTGCACATCAACTTTTTGCTCAAATATAACTTTTGATAATGACATTTCACAGATATTCTTCATAGCATCAACGCTGTTTTTTGCTTTTGTTACAACATTCCACCTTTTTCGAACTGAAATCACTTGAACACACTAAAGTAGGAAGAAGAACTTCCAAACTCGGAATCTTGGACCACCCGAGCAGCACATGAATGCAGCATTAGATTTGGATTTTGGGGTGGCACGTAGGGTGGCAAATCAGATTTCAAGGGGTGCACATGCCACCCATGGCCACCCATCTGGACACGACCCTGGTGGTGAGGTGCCTTTGTCTGATGGTGTCTGGTGTCTGGTGTCCAAATAGCAAAGCTATACAAGGAAATCATGGAATGCACCTTTCTGCTTCCACAAACTCATTTCTTAAGCCATCATTATGGAATACATTTGACTAAATAATGTACTTAAGGTCCTCTTAAAGCTTAGCTAAAACTGCATCAAATCAGTGAAAAAAGTTTGCTCAGGTGTGCAGATAAAGATCATTAACCATCTCCAAGGTTAATGTAAGATTTCCTTTAATGTTCATCTTTCATATAGGCTACAAAACGGTCCAACCTTGTAATTGGGAAAGACAAGAGTCATTATATAAATCCTGATATAAAGTACTGTTGCACTGGGACTTTTGTGTTTATGTAAAGATATAAAATATGCAATAATGTGTTTCTTGGCAGAAGTAATTGTGTACTAATACATGTTTCTTGTAGTACTGAGTAACAGCACTCCCTTTTGTGTGTTTTTGTTTAAATCACGTAAGGCCAGAATCTGTGTTTTGTGTGCAACAGGTGGGTCTGCGCCAGCTTGACATGTCTCTGCTGTGCCAGCTGTGGTCTCTCCAAGAGGCGATCCAGGACTACAGGGGCTCCTCGCTTCTGTCTGAGGCCTCTTTAAGTGCTTATAACGGGGATTCTGAAGAGGAGGAGGAAGATGAGGAGGATAGAGGAGTTCTCTTGCAGCCGCCATCCTCCTCATCCTTGTCTGTGCCCCAAGCCATCAGCAACTCCAGGGACCAGTGGATCAAGGACTCCTTTCATATCCCCTGATAATCATACAGTCATATGCACCATGCTGCAGCAACGTGATTATGGTGTCCAAAATTGGATATCTATTTCTTGACTTTTTAGCCCATGTGCTCTAGTTTATATCCTATTTTTCTCTCATCCGTATTTATTCTTTCAGCACAACTTCTTACTGGTTATCTTTTGATTTTAACACTTAAATGCAAAATCAGTGCCCGGTTTATAAAAGTCATCTTTCATTTGCTTGACATTTGAGGTTTGAACAAGATTACAAGATTTCATATGTGGCCTTTTCAGAAGCATCCATTTTTATTTTCCAAATCTTTGCTCCACTGGATCTTTTTGTCGTTCTACTTGGGTTTTTTTTTTTTACACTCCAGCTATGTAGTGGTTGGCAGGGGATGTAAAGTAAGTAGTTAAACTCTACCTGTTGATATATAGTTTTGTGGTATGTCAAAGGACGGAAAATCAATTGCTCTTAATACAAGCTGTTAACTGTGTGCTCATGCAGCAGAGATGGTTTAAAAAATCTATTTCTTAGTATTAGAACAAAAGGACCCACTGCCACAAACCTGTACTAATCTATATTTGTATACTTGGATTAAAGGCAATAGAAGGATTCTACTGCAGAGCATGACCAACAGGGGGCACACTGTTTCCAGTGGAGCGCTCCCTCCTTCACCCCTTAAGACCGCCTTCTCCTCTGCGGTCCTGTTTGAAGCAGTCCAGTGGGGAAAACCATTTGCTGTGGAGGTAGCAGGAATGAAGGGGGTCGACAAGTGTGTGGACAGTCTCATGCTGTTCTCTATTTATAATGAACACATGTTGGGGTTATTGTTAGAATCTCTCTGGCGGTCTAGCAGAGATAAACTGCATGTGTTCGTTAGCTCTTCATTTAATTCTCATGTTTTTGTGAATTTGTATTTATAAGTGATAGACAGTTTTATACATTTCTTATCTTCGCTGCCTCGCTTTTCTTTTCTTTTCTTTGTTGTCATCTTTTGTATACAGCTGTTATTATCACACCGCACTGTTACTTCGGGTCGGGTAATTGTGCACTACAGTGAGTGATTATTAAAATAAATAGAGGTTAGACTGGAGGTAAGCACTGTTGATGTCAATGATGTGTTTAAGGGCGGAGGATTGCAATAGAGTTTACTGAGGTCTGGAATACAGAAAAATAATAATTCAGATGTAAATATTTACTTATAACCAATGTTGTAACTAATCATTTATTGTCTGAAGACCATACAGTAAAAAGACTCTGCGATTAGCAAGGAAAGACTTTCAGCCACTCATTTGTTTTCTTGTTTTCATTCTTCAGCCTGACAAGCGACTCAAAAAACCTAGAATGGAACTGGAGTTGAGTGACTCTTATCAAAGCAGACTGCCAGCTGACCTTGAATGTAGATATCTGTTTATTAAATTAAATACAACTCAGTCACTGACAGGTGATTGCCACTAGGATCCTTTTATTACATTACAGCCTTTTGTGAAGTCTTTTGTGTTTTGCCTCGTTTCCTCTCCACACACCGACTTGTCCTGCACATGACTACCACCTGTTGAAAAGCAGGTGGAGGATACTACTACGGACCACGGACAGACACCAGAATGCCGCCTCCAAAAGCAGTGTTCATCTTCCAACTGATTCTGTAATCAGACTGATGATAGAGATGAACTTTTTTTTTTACCCCACTGCCTTAAGCATTCACTTCATTGACTGCTGAAGTTAATTTCCTATTAAATCTTTGCTCCCAAAACATATTAAAACATACAGGGATGTCAGCGGACGAGTCGACTCATCAACTTGTCATTTAGAATATGCACAGTCTAGAGTTGAGTAAGTAATAATGGACATCCGAATACTGGACACACAATGTAATATTAAACCGCTCTGAGTCATAGTGGCGTTGCCCCCACCCCCTCCCCTCCTCCACCAGCTGCCTCTGTCCATCCATCCATCCCTGTTCCCCCACCTAAAAATACACTCCTGCCCTCACTGAGGAAAATCCCTGTGCCTTGACCTAGCTTGAACACACTCACACACAAACACGACTCCGGTTTGGCACTCTCCATGGAAACTATTCCTCTGCAGTTTACTGGATGTAACACTTCTTTTCTGTTTGAGCTGCTGGATGACACAAGCCGCGTGTCGTGACGTCATAACTATGAACTCAACTTTAAAGAGGAACAAGAAGGCATCGTGGTGTTTCACGCCACTTGTATTAATAAACCCTTCATGGTTTCCTGTGGGAGCTCTGGAGTTTTTTTAAAGCTGACGAAGCGAAAGAGTCAGATAAGCCCGATCCAGTGACATAGACAGTCAGGATCAAAGTCTGTAGGTAGGACAGAAGGCTGTCACCTCAGTACCTTAACTCGTTCCCTTTAACCAGCACGATAAAGAAGTTTGCATACTGCCGCATCACCGGTGCACTCTCTTTTTGCATATCCTGTCTCACTCACTTGCCTGTCTCTCTCACGGAAGGAGGGAGGGTGAACTAACCAGCTGTACACTTATATTAGCTACGAGGCCTGACTAAACGGTGCACCATGTGGCTCACTGCCAGAGAAACTGAGAGAGGTGGTCACTGAGCTCGTGCAGTTGTTTGGTTTGGAGCTTAGGCTTCATATCAGGCGAACAATTTGAATGACAGCGAGCAGGGCGGACTCGGTTCCTCTTTAATGCGCTCATCATATATAGCCTAACAACTAGGCCTACTTTTTCAGGGCTTTCTGTTCGGCGACATTTCTCATCTTTTCCCGTGAGCGTCATTAAACTTGTTGCCAATGAGCGCAAGTCGCAGCTTGTGTGAAGTTCATCATCAGCCCATCACCAGAGAAGGCTACAACAGCAGCACAAGAAGAAGAAGAAGAAGAAGAAGTAGCGGACCATTTGAGGGATTGTAACACCGGGGGAAAGTTGGGAGGAATAACAGTCTGTTTTTCGTATATTTCTTGTTAGTTTTCAGTTTTTATTTCCCCCCGGAGTAAGCCATGACTTCTGTGTGGAAGAGACTTCAACGAGTCGGTAAAAAGGCGTCCAAGTTTCAGTTCGTTGCGTCTTACCAGGAACTCGTGTTGGAGTGTACCAAGAAATGGTGAGTTTTTAAATCACTTGGTCCAATATGAGAGTTTGTCATTGTCTTGTTTGTTTGTTGAGTTTGTTATTACGGTAGTTATTATAAGACTCCTCCACGTTTACTCATGTTTTGGGGGTTTTCCGCTGCACTGAGAAGGGGGTGGGTGGGTGTGGGGGGGGGTACATGTGCTCAGCTGTTCCGGAGTGATTGTGGGTTCGATTCCCGTCTCCGCCTATCGACAAACAAGAGGAATTAATGACAACTTTGACAACTTCCTCTCCAACATGTCGTCTTATAGGCCTATTTTAGAGAAGAAGTTGTCAATAATATAAATAAACTAGTCTATCGTAAAGGTCTCTGTAGGTTCCTAGAGTCTATTTACCATTATGGCAGGCATGTGGACTAAGCAATAGGCCTACTATTACTGCAACAACTAATCGATTAGTTGATGAGTATTGTAGCCTATTAGGCTACTTGCCAAATATTAAAATGATTGATCAATAGGTTTGAAGAACATGAAGTTCAACATTCTCCTATTTGATCTTCTAAGTTGTAATGACCAAATGAAAAGGTTCCTTAACTTCAATGGACAGTAAACCAGGCTGCAGTATGTATCTCATCTTGGAGTCGCCATCTTGGGCTTTTGGAAACAATTACAATTTTCCTTTTATTATTATTATTATTTATTTATTTATTTATATTTTACCCAGCATTGAGAAAATAATCAACAGATTCCTCAGCAATTATTATTATTTTAATAAAATAAACACAGAATGAAGCGCTTGGTGTGCTGCATTTGGTTAAAATGTAAGCTAAAATTCCAAGTTACTCCCTTTTTAGGTAGTTAAACACTTTTTTTTAACACTTTTATTGTGTTAGCATGTTCATGTCAAACATGTAAAACAATCTGCAGTTTGCTCCAGGATCTTGTTTTTAAAGTCTAGGTCTTTTGAACTATACCGTCACAATTAAGGTATTTTTTTTTTACTTTGTCAAAATGAAGTGTTTTTTGTTTCAGTTTTTGTTTGTCACTGGATAATGTGGATGTTTATGATTACTTTATTTTACATCATAGTAGGCCTGTGTATACACACATAAGCTGGTAGTTACTGATGATACATTTATGTTAAGATTAAGTTTAACATAAGTCACCAATATCTTCAGATATAACCACAATAGTTTAAACTCACTACCTGATAGTAGCGTTTTTGGGCTTCCCCCCTCTTGTGAAATCCCTGACATGTCTTAGCCTACTAAATATTTGAGAGTAGGCCAGGTGATGCAGGATGGCTCATCGTGCAGCTGTGACGCAACAATGACTGGAACTAAACACATCAATCTTATAAGGGAAAAGTGGGAAGTACTGTTACATTCACTTACTGGAGCCATTTATTCTTTTCAAAGACATTACTGTTATGTCTTTTAAATTTGCCTACATGCCTGTTAGGCCCACATTTCACATTCCTATCTCTCTATAGATTGAAGTTGGAATAATGACATAAGCGCCTTGTCAGCAGAATGATAAGAAACATAGATTAGTTCTTTGATCCTGTAATGACTGAAGCCACCCGTCAATAAAGTTAGAGATTTTGATCAGCGACAGGGAGCTTGCGTTGTGTGATTTAGAAAGAGAGACAACACCCACAGTCTGACGAAATCAGAGTTCAGAAGTCTGCAGCAGTGTGTTGTTCAAACAGTATTAAACCAGAGGGGAGAGGAGGAAATGAAGAAAGACCTGTGATTAATTCAACGTTTCAGTCATGTTACTGTACTGTTTTTTTTTTCTTCTTAAAGACACCAGCCTTTAATTCTTAAGTGATTAAACTCTGTATTCTTTAAAAATAGTATGACAGTCTAAGATCAAACATCAGAGTGGCCACGTAGAGGGTTGTAAATGACCCAGATGTATCATGTTTGTGTACAAGTGTTTGGGGGTTTCTAATTTAGTGCTTTCATTTGAGACCATTGGTTTTTTTTCACCCACACAGACGTGTCAGTGAGAAGTCTATACTTACAGAGTATGTGAGGATAACAACTGCAACTACACTTCTAAAAGTTCACTTACAATGATGTATAAGTGTTCAACAAGAGTATTTGATATTTAAAACAGTTCAAATCTATATTTCTAAAATAACAGTGTGTCATGTGACTCATAGTGCCGAACTTAGAGAATTAAAACCTAAATATGCAGCTCGCTTTAGTTTTCTGCTTTCCAGTGAGTTTAGCTGTTGGTTCTGCAATGTATCCTTTTTTTAACTTCACATTTTCAAAGCATTATCACTCTAAACACATATATTATACTACCTGATCATCATCAAAGAGGAAATAGACACTGCCGCCTACAAGATGGCGAAAACAGCCAAGTATTAAAGTTAAGACGGATATGTATTTCCATTTGAAGGTGGAGGAGACCAAAAACAGAGCAAAGAGAACATGAGTATCGGACTGACATTTCCCTGAGGAGCACATGTTGGACCTATGTTTTTACTTGCTGGATGTGTGAATAAGCACCATTGACAGAGCAATGTCACTGTAACAACATGTTGCCATTGCCATCCAGCAGCCAAAATAAACCTGTTAATGTGGGTTGAAGTGTTATTAAAGGCAGTATCATCTTGATAGTACAACACGAAGACCAAGAGCTCCTGAAAGACATTCTCCATCACATGCAGCTCTAATAGATAAGAAGGAAAAGATAAACAGGGCTGGCGGTTTGTGCATGACAGCTGTCCAAAATGATGAAGTGACAGAGACAGTAGAGTGGCACCAACACAATTAAAGACTTAGAAACAGAACAATTCTTAAAGTAACACTAGGAGTGCCTCATATGCCATAAACACATCATATATTTGAACGTGTGAACACATATCATATGTTCTGCTGTCAGCTGCGGCTCATAACCATTGTCTGCTGAATTACAAAGCACCAATCACTATTTTTTTAATTACACATTACTAAGCTGTATTACAGTCCAAATGTTGGCCTGCATAAAACCACCATTGTTACAGAGCTCAATGATGCGTGAGATATGTTTGTGCTTTATTGTTTAACTCAACGTCCTCCTCATCCTCCTCATACCCATCTAGTCTCCCCCCCTCGTGCATGTCAGGCTATTTGCTGATGCCACTCCTGACCCCCTAACACACATATCAAATAAACACATGTATAAACACACCGCCTTTATTCTCAAACACTCGAGACAACATGCACCATCTATAAACCATTGCTGTTAATATTCTATTGAACAAGTCGGCTGTCATGTGAGTTATTTTTGTGCACTGATGTCTTTTTTTCGGGGTCTATGTGTTCGTTCATTTGAGATGGGGGGTTCTTTCTTCCTGTCAAGAGGCACGCCCCACATTCAGATGATCACATGACTCCACAGCTTCCAGTCTCACTTCCTGTGCAGCAGAGGACTGAGAAAAACACAATGGAAGCAAATACACACACGTAGCAAACACACACATGCACAAATGGTTACACACACACACTTTAAAATGAATACGCAACAACACACACACAAACACACACATGCTATAACACAAAATTACAGGTTTGCATATACAGATGAATAAACCTAAAAAATACAGTTGGCACACACACATACTTCACATCAGTTTTTTTTTATCTTTGACTCAGAGGCAAATTTTTCCAGCAGTTAGAGTCATGAGATCTTCCTTTAGACCATGTGTTTTTTTGTGTTTACTTACTTTAGTATATTTAAAGGGAAGCTTGGTGGATGCTCAACCAGCTTTGAAGTGTGGATTGTTAACACATGGACAGTGTTAAATTTACCTGCAGCCATTCACCTCCTGTTTACTTTTGCCGGCTCTAGGGCTGTTTTTTGGGGGGAGACAATCTGGATACTTATATGAACCAGAATAAGGTGTGCAGAAGTATCACCAGCTTAACTACTTTTTGAGCAGAGGAGAACCCCATGCCATTTTCCTCAGTCTCTTAAATAATATAGCACTAATATTATTATACATGTTTTGTCTCTCTGCTGCTCAGAAAGCCCAGCTTTATGCAAAGACAAACTCCCCAGAGGTTAAATGCCCCTTTAATGAGCATGGTAACCATTATTACTTGTTTCAAGATGTCACTTCTGTGTTTTGACTGATGTTTGTGTGTCTTCTTAGGCAACCAGACAAGCTAAGGGTGGTGTGGACAAGGAGGAACAGACGCATGTGCTCCAAGGTGAAACCCCTGCAGAAACCACAGACATACAAATACAAAAACAACACAACAAAACAAAACAAAACAACAACAAAAAGAACACACAAAGTCTCATCATGTCATTTGCTTGCAGCTCCACAGCTGGCAGCCTGGAATCAAAAACCCCTACAGAGGCATGGTGGTGTGGCCTGTCCCCGAGAACATCGACATCTCTGTTACACTTTTCAAGGTACAAAACCAGAGCGCATTGTTTACATTCTACTGAAACAAACAGTCCCAATACAGAAGAAGACCTAAAGGAAGAGAAAGTGTAATACAAGTAGAGACTTCCATACAGGGCACTGATTGGTTCATTATTATTGGACATGTGTAAATGATGTGTGTATAAATGTTAGTGAGCGGCATTTACCACCAAGCGAACAAAAATGAGGGGAAATAATGTTTCCATTTGAGTTCAAAGAACATGTGTTTTTCTATATGGGCTTATTACAGTGTACAGCAGCTGAATTATCCATAAATTGTAGTTTGTTTTCATGTTTTGTTGCCATGGTGCTCCACGTTGGTTGCATTTCTGAGTAATGGTTTATATCTATTATATAGAAACAGTTTATGAATAAAAATGAAAAACAGAACAGAAATGTATCAGCAGATATGTAACACACCTGAGTGTATGTACAGGTAAGATGTTGGAAAGTTAAAGTTATGAAATAGAAATAATATTAAGTTGTACAACCAGATGAGTAAATTCATGCATTCATTAGCAACAGCAACTTTTACAAAGAGATGGATATTACAGCAGACACAGTTTGATAATAAAGAATAATGACTGTTTATGCTCAACCCTGTAGGAGGTCAATGCTGACGAGTTTGAGGACAAAGAGTGGACCTTTGTCATTGAGGGTGTAAGTATCTCTTCAATACTTGTCTTAGGATCTTTAGTGGTTCGTGAACCCAACATTCTTGTTTATTAATTAAATATACAGACGGAGTTTAAAAAGTGTAGTATTTGTGCTGCCTCATACTAGTAGTCCACTAGATTTCAGAGAACATGCTGTTCTTTTCACTTGTGCTTATTGGTTACTTTTTGGTAAAGTTTATGTAATCATAATTATAATCAGGAAATGTGATCATACGAACAATAATGATTTATCTTTGACATGGACTACTTTATGTGTGAATATCTTAAAACAAA